TCATTTTTAGGGGGCGAAGCTCCGAAGCTACTAGCTTCACTTGCTTTCAAAGCTTCGGTCGATTCCCGAACCAAATCTGGCGGTCCCTCCTAAATCGTCTAGATACCTACATGGCTTTGGGCAGGTACCAACTGAGCTGCTGATTGACGTCTTGCAGTCACGCGTTCGGGGCCTTAGCGTTATGAAGATTGGTGTATCTTGGAGAAAGTGGGCCTTGTCATAGTATGTAGGGGTGATGGAAGACTGCCAACTGGATGGACCTAAGAGCCGAGCACAGCGCGGCGCCTTAATCTACATGCTCTACCTCAAATTTCTAGTTCTCTGTTAGGAATGGTGATAGGTATCTGTACATCTGGTCATAATAACGCGCACGGGTACGAGGATTGAAGGGTCGATAGGCGAACTGCGGTATTCCTGCATAGCAAGTAAAAGCTGACGTTGCGTGTGTTTGAAGTTGTTGCGGCAGCAGTACTGTTGAAAGCCATTGCCGCGTCCACGACTACAACCACTTTTTTCCGCAAAGAACACAAAGTCCCCTGCCCCGCCAGCTGCTGCAACTAGGGTCCTGTCTTCTTCCTGGTCCTGTTTTTGTCCAAGAGCACCACAGACACAGAGGCCAGGACCTCGTGGCGGTTACCTCGCGGTGGGTAGGCCTGCTGATGCTTCCTTGCAAGCATGCAAAGCTCAAGAGGCATGTGATGTTGTCTCATATGATTCTTCAGGGGTCGCACTGTGTAGGGATGCAAGGGGCTGGGTTGCGTGAGAATTGTCAAAGCGTTTTGCAGTCCTCAACACTAGGACCCAGCAACTTTGCAAGCCGCACGGGGGAGTGGGCATGAGACATAGACGAACCAATATACTTTATAGTAGTTTCCATTTTCTTCTCCATGATTCCTATACAACCACCCCCTTAATAACCCCAATATAGACGCTATTTGGCCCATTATAAAAGTGAGTCAGCCTCCTTTGGACTGCCATGCAGCATCTTGGCGCAAGGCTCTTCCCAAGCAGCCTGTGAAACAGACAGCACGAAGGCTAGTGCTATTGTCAGTCCTTGTTTATTTGCAATCAATGCAACTGTGGCTGTCATGTTCCTCTTTCTACCATTCCCAGCACTACAAACATCAACAATCTACCAAGATACTGCTACTCCTCTTCCTGCTGCCTCTGCCGTTGGGACTTTGGCTTAAGTATGCTTCTACTACTCGCGCAGGAGACGGCCGGCGTGGCTTTTACCTTCGGAAACACAAGAGCCCAAGTGGGAAGCAACCCGAGGAGGGGTTGGTTTGTTGTAGAGATCTCTTGTGGGCAAGAAGCCTGACATACTGATAAGAAGCCGAACACAAGAGGAAGATGATTGTCTATTGATTTCCTGTGCATAATTGAATTTTCGCTTCAGCTCCCAAGAAATCTGCTACTTTTGAAGAGCCCGTGCTGCAGAGCACACTGGGCTTTTGATCCGCACAGGCTGCACCTCGAATGAGGAGCCTGTGTTTCCGAAATGGGGTTCCCCGTATTCGCACCATCATCCTGCGTTTAGGGCTCCCAACAAGGAGCCCTACCGTTGGACCTCCCGAAAAAAGCCGGTAGGACACGTCCCGCCTTGCGTCCGTGCATGGTGTTGGGCCAAGTCATAAGGAGCAGCAGCTAAATTCATGGCACTAAGAGTCTCATCGCAAATCTGATGCAGGTGGCAGCTGCATCAAGCATAGCAAAGCACAAGATGACCAGCATGGCAGCTTTCTTGACATTTACGCTTATCTGAATGTTGGATGCTGGGCGCCTGTATTCTGAGACGTGAACACCTGTAAGGCGCATAACTTGCGCCCGCAAAGTGAATTTCTGTGGTAGTTGATCATCAGTTCCTGAGACACGTAAGCGCCTTAGAAGGACTCAGATCCTTCTCCTCAACCAGGACCTTTGATCAACCTTCAGATCTTCATTCACACTGGCGCCAAACAGACAGGTCACGAAAGCTTGGTGGTCTTGAATCGGATGCCTGACACATACATGGCCAACTCCTTTATCATCATCCCTATGACGTCCTCGCGTATGGCAAGTACCCATATCAATCGAACCAACCAGCCCAGGCAGGGCTGACTTTTTGTAGCTCAGGTGCGCGTGGAAGAGGAGGATACAGACGAGCTTGCCCTGTACAAGATGATGCGCGAGGCCAGTCAGGTCTATCTTGAACATTGAGGTACCCTTCTTGCCCAAGGAGGTCAATTCATGTGCCTGGGGACTCTTTTCTGGCTGCTCGACAAATGACAGACGCGTACTATCATCGCTTGTTATTTACATTTATTTACAATCTCACTTGATTCAGAATTCAACGCTGATAATGAGGAAAATGAGAAAAGGCCAGGAAAATCTCGATGGGAGAACGGTACTTTCCTTTCCTCTACGTCCTCACTCCCCTTCCCTTCTCCTTTCCTCCTCTTCCTCCCTCTCCCTGTTGCTCTCCGCTGCCCTCCTTCCCTCTCCGCTCCATGCCTTGCCCGCCTCTTCCGAATGTCTCTGTGTTCCCCTGTTCCTTTCGTTTCCTCTCACCTATTCACCTTTGTTCTTTGATTCACGAAATGGTCAACACCCGAAAGCGCAGAGACGGGCGACACGCAACTTGTGCCAAATCCGCACAACATCAAAAACACAGTGCCCACTGAGGCAAGATCATTAAGCCTCGAAACAAAGGCTTTAGCTACGGATTTGGGATGCACATCCGTCAGAAGCATCACGCGGTATCTATTGTCCCAGCGAAGGATAAAACAAGAAGCCCGGCTTTAGAGACCTAAATCGGGACCTCCAGTTCTAAGAAGTTTTTTTTGCAGTTCCTGACCTCGTCTTTCAAATTCTCGCATATGCTACAGGAAGCTGCAAGAATGCCTTTTGAAGGGTGAGTGCAAGCCATCGGGGAGTTCCCCTAAAGATGCGACATGACATCTCCAGCCTGTCCATTTTCAGGATTCATGGATGCGGTCATGACGTTGCTCCCTGGCCAGGCCCTGATCTACTTGACGCATCTGGATTCCAGCCACATGGCTCCTTGCTTTGCATGGCCTAGACTAGATTACTAAGACAATGGCCAGCCATAACAATGACCACGGCAGTACGAAGCCCCGGTGATCCACATTCCGATCTTTAGATTACGTTCCTACGTCACGATCTCTGCACTGAATGCGCGGTGCGATTCAGGAGCGCATCGTCCTACAGCGCGTGGCACAGGCAAGGACTTGGGCATGCCTGTACGGAAAAAACAGCGGTGAGGGGCGTGTCGAGGTAGAGCTGTCTTAGCAAGCCCCGAGTAGAACAGGGAAAGAACAGTGGCTGGTGAGGAGTTCGCTGCTATGCTGAAATATAAGGAATAATCAACATTTGCGCTCCAAGCATGGCTGGCGCCTCCACGTTTGAAACCAATTCCCTGCCCAGCTTCACATTGTGAACAAGACCCTTTCTGGGAATTTGTTCATCCATTTAAAATTCTGCGAAAAGCAACCGTAGCGTTTCAGGAATGCCTGGAGAGGAAGGACCTGGAGCGTTGGTGCCCAACCATGTTGAATCGGCTATGCTATGCCATTGGCTCCATCAGCGGCTCCATGCAGGCGAGTTCCCTTTTTTGGGCTTTATCTTGTGCAGTAGCAATATGTTAAAACCCACATCTTAACAGCATCAGCCTGACAGCCAGAGATCACCATGCTTGCTGCTTTGTGTCGTTGTTTGCCTGGATGTGTTTGAAGCTGTTTGGCTTTTGAGATGCCTTTCTGCCTTCAGCTTCAGGAGTCGGACGAGCGGAAGTTCGTTGTCGCCGTCACTTGACGCAAGATTCTGTTGGGGTGGATCAGTAGGAAACTAGCATGCTTGCACTGTGGAAGCATGATATGCTTGGCCATTGGTGTTGCTAAGAGGTTACCTTGCCATCATGAGGATAGCATAGAACTCCTCGCAGCAATGAGGTCATCAAGGATCTTCTGAACCTCTGTGACATGAAGAAAGGGAAGGAGCGAAAAGGGAAGCGTTTGGAAGCAAGCCTGCTGCGTCCATATCTCTTCAGCAGGAGAACAAGGCGGCAGTGGCCAGCAACATCATGCACCTGAGCTGCAGAATTAGGCTGATAACAAATAGCATTTGGATACAGTTTCTGTTCATTCTGTTCCGTGCATCACATCAAGGCCATCTGTTCTTTTGAGGATCGTTTTCATGTTCATGGCTGCCTGGCTCAGGTATGTGGTGGGCCAGTACCCGCGATTTCTCCGAGCACATTGGAAGTTCTTGAGAACAGCACCTCGCTTGCAAGGAATCAAGCTGCAGCTCGAGGCTGGGAGACAAGCATGTCGCTTGAAAGCCCTTTGTGCGCTGATTTTTTTCAATTCATCCTTGCTACTTACAGGTGAGGAAAAGAAAGATCCATACTTGTTTGAAAAAGGTACGTGCCATGGCCCAAGGTAGTTTTCAAGCTCTTCGAGTTCATGCACGAGACGTTTCCTGGCGTCCAGCACTGTGGCCGCACAGTGTACGGTGTGTTGGTCGTGCCATGACGCAAGCTCCCTTCCAGTGTGTTTCTCTCATTCCCCCATAGCACCGAGGTCAGTGCGTGGTGTGTTACAGTACAATTATTACTCGAAACTGGATTCCCCTTACATGCCAGCACTTTGAGAAGAACAATGAGTCAAGCCGCAACCATCACCTCGACAGCTGTGGCAGGCAGATGGCGGTCGACACGTTCCTGCGGATATGCCAGAAGTGCAAGAAGAAGTTTGTTATCCAACAGGCTGCGCGTAATTCTGGCAACAGGAATTCGCTAGTTCATAATCACGAACCGAAGGATGCAAGTTCAACGTTCCTAGAATGCCGGTGAGAGCATTGTGTTTCAGCGCATCCGTGCTGGTGACATAAGTGGGGAGTGCAAACAAAGCATGGTTGTCAAAGTGCCGTGACAGAAGCAACAGATAGTGGCAGACAAGCAGGCAAGCCATTCCTGGTTTGAGTCTCTAAGGCCGCCCACAAGATTAGAAGAGAAGCGTGGCACTTCCAGATAACGAGTCCTCAGTTGAGCTTGAACTCTGCTTCCACAAGGAAGCAGCACTCACCCTTTTCGTGCACCATCCTTTGCCTTGAATACTCAACCCAAGTCACGTTATGCGCACAAGACTTTGTCTTCTGGGCGCCCTTTCCACATTCATATTCTGCATTGGTAAATGTGACCTGATTCGGGCTGGTTTGGATGTTGCATGTGCTCTAAGGTTCCTGAGATCACCCCGTGTATGCACCTCTCTCTTCCGCTTCCAAGACATCCAAAATCCGGCACTACTCAAGCCTACGTCCTCCAACCCGAAGCATTAAAGCCCAAACCCTCAAGCGCTGAGCCCTGAACGGATTTCGGGCACACCTTTCAGAACAACGAGCCGGCGCCTTTCATTGAGACCTTGCCGAGCCACATCGCGCAGGTCCGGGCATGCGGTTCAGAATGAAGGGAACAGAAGGGTTTAGAGGAATGTAGGGGGTCAATATGGGTTCACACGTAATTGTGTAGAGGTTTTGTCCGAGGATCAGGAGAATTGAAAACAGGTCCAGCATGGGCGATCACGAAAACCCAGGCCCACAGCGGTTTATGTTCTGTTTTGGTGGGGCCACTCTTGAAGCAAATCCCACAATTCAAAGCTTTGTGAAAAAGATGTAAGACTTCCTGGCTGCGCTGGAGAAACAAAGATATTGGCAGGCTTATAGGGTTGGAGCGTTTGAATATTTGAACCCTTGGGGTGGGTACGACTTTCTTTTTTGATGTGTCAATGCAGATGCCATGCCTGACACAGGCCCAGAGGTGGGGTTTCCCTTCTGTTGAAGCGCTTAGACATCGGACGTCGCCTTTTGAGGAGCAACCATGGGGGGCTCCCCAACTGAGGGAACTCCGTGGACTGGGGCTTTGTCAGAGATGCCATAGCGCCTAGACGGCCCAAAGATGATTGCAAACCTTTCCCCTTCGTCCAAGCACGAACCATAGAAACATTCAGTTGAGGACATCTCGGAATTGGAGCCGTTGCAGATCTGCTCCCTGGCTTGAAAGGCTCTGTCTTCCAGTAGTTCTACATTGCTATTCGCCGATAACTGTGTGCCTTAGCGGTGCAACTAGCATTGCTCTTCTTGTCCTACTTATGAGCAGTGGCTGTGGTAGCACTGTTGTTGCCAAGCTAGCTAGGACACAAGCATGAATTGCTCGTGTGAGGTACCTTCTTCGAGGCAGTTGGTCACATGATCAGTGCAGCCGGGGACCAGAAGGCGACATGGCTTTCTAATGGACACGGGGGTTTCTCCTATAGGGACATCAAGGATGTTGAAGATTGGACAGCTCACACATAGAAAGAAGGGGTTTCGCAGGGATGCATGAAGCGAAGCTGCAACAGATGTTTGTGTGGTCATATGCAGACCATTGGTGTTTGCCTCATTATCATTCTTCGCGTTGAATAAAGACTATGACAGAGATAACATTGCTGTTGTGGGATGTATTGTGTATTCTACTCTAGGTTAGGTAGACCAGAAGCCCAAGTTAGGACCAGGCGATATCATGTAGTCTCCTTCGATTACCATTCACAATCAGCACTGCAGGTGCGGCTCATTGCTCTGCTGATGGGCCGAGATCTCAGAATGAAGATTTGCCTGAAGCCAGGCATGTTCTACTTTTGGCGCGTTTTCTCCCATGCGAAGCTGAAGATGTGAGAAGCCCCAACTGCCTGGGCCTAGGCCTTTTCAATGAGAAGTGGAATGGCATTCTGAGAGGACTTGCTTGCAGAGCCGAAGGTCAGCCCTTTCAGCCGGATCTGTTCCAGGTTAGAGCCCATCCAGTGATCCTAGCAAAATGTGGAGGTTTGT